GAGGGTTTTTGGGAGGATTGGTGGGGAGGGGGGAGGGAGGTTGTAAGGGGTAGACTATGAGGCTTGACGTTGCTGGTGGACAGTGAGTGCAAATGGTAAAGTCTCTGCTGTTACTATTTAGGCTCATATATCTGAAGTTTTTCCCAATGCTAATGTCGTTTCCCCTACTGGAATCCATACACAAACGTTAAATTCAATCAAACACAATTTGACTTACACATGCAAAATAGTTGTACAACTATGATCAATGTATGCCCATGTAGTAGCTTTAGTTTTGTTCAAGGGCTGTATAGATTTTACTCGTACCTCGGATATCGTCAGAGAGACTCTTATACTAAGATTGGTGAATGAATATATCTTCGTATTCAATAATTGCCAATTCTCAGAAATCCAAGAAAAAAAGTCATTGATATAATCTAAATGTACCATCTGTATAACCAAATATAATACTGTACAACGCCATACACGTTACATGCATCGTATCCGTAAACTCCTGATATCCAAGCAGTGCGCCCATATATATGTATACCTTTTCTCATCTATAAACAACACGGATATGCATCCGCCTCTCCATCATTCATGAGATGGCTCCTCGCTCCGCCATCATCTTCGAGATAGAAACTACTTCCTCGATATCGTCCCGTCCCATCTCTAGCATTCGCTACGGTGCTACTAAATGCACTTCCCGTAATGCCCAAGAAGAAGTTGCCCATCATCATCACCCCCATATCAAGCGAACCCAGGAAATCGAACGCTAATGCATCCATTCTTTTCAAGAGATCCTCTTTGTTTGGGGACTTGGAAGCAACGTCCCATTTATGTGTAACTTTCCATCCTCTAGCCGCACCTGCTTCGACAAAGGTCTTGACTTGACCCTTGTCACCACAAGCTAGATAGACAAGTGGTCTTTCAGCATCTGGGGAACCAAACTTGGCCCATGCTTGGTCCAGAGCGTCGAGGTCCACCGCAAGTTGATTTTCGGGAGAGGACCAAATCGTGTCGTTCTCAGCTCTAAAATGTACGCCGTAATAGGGACGGCCGATGAGAGAGAGCAATTCGTTCACGATGGTGCGCGTATCCTCTTTGAAACGTATCAGACTTCCAATCTCGTTCCAGAGTTTTAAATCGTGCCCCGTGGGATCATCTGTGATTCGATAGACGAGGAACATGGCGTGGATGTGAACCACGGTAATTCCATCTGTATGTTCTGGAGCTGGCGCTTTTTCAGCCTCTTCACGAAGCTTGGCGAGTTCGTCTTCAAGAAACGGCTGAAAACGTCGTCCAGGCCAGTAATAGGAGGTGAAAAGTCGATAACCGGGTGCTTTCCCTATGTCAACTTTCCAATCGTATTTCACCTGGACATCCTTATTGAGCTGCTTGATACGAACAATCTTCATCTTCGGACACGCTTGGCCCAAAGTCTCAATGAGATGTTCCGCATCGAACCATTCTCCATACTCATGATAGGCTTTCTGGTTCTCGGTATTGAATTCCTTCAAATTCGTCGAATCGCGTAGAGGCATGCTGGGAAGGACCAGATGCGAGCCCGAATCCAGCGCATACTTGAAGCAGACTTTCAATTGCGACATGATACTCGTGAGACCGGCGAACATCTCACCGCACTGCAAGTAGACTCTGTCCTGCTCCTTCTCCTCCCATGGGATCCGATCGCAGACATGTTTGATGGTGGGGAAATCCAATGCTGTTGCTTTCTTGGAGGAAAAGGCCTGGTGGAAGTATTCTTGGGATTCGGCAGGTCTACTTGTCGTGGTCGAGAGTTCGTGAGAAGGAGCCGGTTTGGCGCTAGAAGGTTCGGAGGGAGTGGCAGCCGGCGCTGCTCCAGCTGGAGATGTCAGATGCAAAGCGGCGCTGTAGGTCGTGACGAAACCGAGATTCCGACTGGCCAACGCGATGAGGATGAGGAGGAAGACAAAAGTGCTGGTGAGCACGACGTTTCTTCGAGTTATCGACATGGTGATGCGATTGACATCAGGGACGGAGCCGGAGATGGAGACGGAGGGCGGCAGGTCAGCAATCGCAAGAAGAAATGGGATACTCGTAGGTACTTATTACGAGTACAGTACAAGTACTCGTACGCCAGGGCTCAATAATGCGGGCAGCGGGTGCAGTTTCGCATGAGCATAGGCCACCTCAGCAAAATTGGGATTGACACGAAACGAAAGCGCATCGAGTACGGGGGATACCTACTTGGGTAAGGAGAGAAGTACCTGTACCGCGGTGCATAGGGATGGGAAGGGAAAGGGGAAGGGGGAAGGGGGAAGG